TAACAAACTGTTTTTTGAGGGAGATCCCCAAGTGTTGGTAGTATTGTAGGGTTTAACTGCAAGAAAAGTATATTTCAATGTTTGTTTTTTTCCCAGCACTATGATTTTTAAAAAATGCTCTTCATTGCTCAGCCTTTTTAGCAGGCACAATGTCACTGAACAGAGCTCACCACTTCTTTTTTTGCATTTTTTTGATACAAGTCTCAACATAACACTCAAACTTTTCTTGGGCTTCTTTAGTTGTTGCAGCAGTAACAAACCAAATGACTGGTTTGGAAACCTGTGGCTGGTGACCCACCTGTGATCTCTTCAAATTACTTTCTTTGTTGACAAAAATAGTCAGAAGCTGTGCAATACTACCACACTTCTGTAGAGTTTGTGTTAGAAGTGATTGGACATTTTTTTTCTGGGGAAAATTCTATTAAGCTTGTAAGTCAAATGATGCTCCCTTGGGAAGCTCTGGAGTTGCAAATGACTTCACTGTGGAGGAGTGTATCAGTATTCACTTGCTTGATACTACTTCTTTGCTATATGCTTCTCATATAGGCCACTGTCCCAGATAGGATGCTGAGTTCAACAAGTCTCTGGCCTGATTTTTTTTCTTGCTGTTCTTACTTTGTTTCCTTGATCCTCACAACTTTTTTACTTGCTGCTTTATTGTGCATTTAAGTCCTCAGCTTCCAGAGTCTGGTTAGCATGTTATCTTTTGTGGCATTATGCCAGTGTTTATGGGGCTGAAGCAAAAGGAAGTTCTGGTTTGCTGTTTACATCTGAAATGCAGAGTGAATCTGATAGGTCACTTCTATTTAGCAAAACTGAAACTTCATACCTGGTGCCTCAGTCTCTCTGGCAGGCATGAGTCCCAGTGTGTTCAGTTTCTAAAAAGAGTAATGCTTTATTTTTTGCTAGATAAAACTACACTAATGGCATACATAGAAATATAAACAAACAGTGCTGGAAAAAGTTAGAAAGGAATTCTTTAGTTTGGTTTTATGAGTTTAACTATGTAGTGTTGTAAAAAGAGGAAATTGTACCATGGAAAATCAATACCTGCTAAAACTCTTAAAAAACACACAGAGGATAAACTAAGGCAAACTAGTACATAATGAAATGGAAGCATAAAGCTGAAGTGAAGATGGTGATAGTTATGGTTGTAAAGGAATTAACAAAAAGTGAGAATGAAATTAAGATTGAAGAAACTAAACTGACTTGAAATTTGATTTAAATAAAATGTGCATACAGATCTGTTTTAATATTGTGAAACTGCAGAATCCAGAAGCCCGATGGGTTGTATGACATTGTTACTGTGGTTAAAATGTGGTCAGTACTACAAGTGCATGTGTTTGTTTTTAGAAAATATGTCAATCTGCAGTAGCTTTTTAAAAAGAAAACACATACACACCCTCCCCAACTGAAGCTGGAATTGGTAAAAATAAAAACAAGTATCTAGAAATAGGTTCCCATATGTAGCTGGCAAAGAACATCATCTCCTTCACTGAAAACAGCAATAACTTACATTTAATTAATTGAAAGGTCTTGAGTTTTGAATGCATAATTATATAGGTGTAATTTGTCTGCCTCTGCATTTATTGTAACCACAGATCACATAAATCCTGTTGTGTTGCCTCATAGGTAGCTACACATTTTTTCCTCTCACCTTTGTTCTGTGCTTCTCATTTGGTAATAAGTCATTTCCAGACCAAAGTGAAATAAAGACTAACAGATTAGGTCTTATAAAAACCGCAATAGAATTAAAATGTGTTGACTTTTAATATTTCCAAAAAGCTGAAATGGAACGCTAACCCAATTCTGGCATTATCCTTGTTTTATCCATGTGATTGTATCTCCTGTGCTGTTGCACTTCCTGTTCCTCCGAAGTAATGCTTTTATGTTGCTTCTGCACTCACCAGTCACTCTTGTGGATCTGTCCTAGATTCTTTTATCTGACCCTCTAAACAGATATTTTAACTATGTTTAAAAATGGGGGAGGAGAAAGTAGGCAAATACATTAGAGTGTCAGGTTCTGCAACATTACCAGCGAGTCTACAAAGTGCTCTTTGCTTCATTAGCAAATGACCCAGCTCTCAAATTAATTACTTGACATGGTAACGGAGCTACAAGGTGTTGCCATTCCTCAGCATCTGAGTCTTGCTTGCACTTGTTTTTAAGGAGGGTGACCCATCTGGTATCATCTTACTTCTTTTAAATTGACAAACATTGTTGCATAAATAAAAGTATTCATCTCAATTAGTTGTTTTGGTTTTTTCTTACCTGTCAGGTGTGTAACTAGCTGTAGTTATGTGCTGTTGTGGTTGCTTTCATATGTATGTAGTTGAAGATGGTTAGAAAATGTGCTTTGAGAAAGAGACTTTGCCATTAAAATTATTGGTGGGTAGGTGGAGTTTTCTTTTATATGTTAAATAAAAACATAATGAACTGCAATTGAAAGTCTTAATTCAACCAATATGTACTAAAGTCAGAGAATGTGTTGCTCTGGTTTTGGTCCTGATGCAGCTAATTGCATCCAATCACTTGAGATTCCCTAAAAACCACACATGAAAATATTCCAGGGCTTCGTGAACTTAAATTCTGCATATTCCAGAGAGATGAGGTGGTTTTGGAGAAGGGCAATGGAGCACAGGCCTTACTGGCTTTTCCATTCAGCTACAAAGCATGAGGTCATATTGCTTTATCTTTTAATTTTAAGAGATCTCAACTCTTTTATTTTTTAATTATTTTTTTAAATGTCCTATTCATTTTTGAAGGATGTAAGAACAAGCTGGCTTATTGAAAATATACTTTAATAATACAATAAAAATTAGTCTCACCCTGTTTGAGCTAATAGTCCTGTGCCTTTGCTTGGGTGCTGCAAGCCATGGGGCATGTTGTATAGACAAGTAGCCTGCATGATTGCGGTAAGTGTGTCACATCCTGCCCTCAACTTTGCCCTCCTTGGAGGCTCTGGCAGTCTCCCTGTGGTTTGCCCACTAGCCAGCTGGGAGTGGCTCTCGAAAACCTCTCTAACCTGTGGATCTGGTTCTTGAACAAACTTTCAAGACTTAACAGTGTCTCAGTGCTCCTTGCCAAACCCGATTAGGAGAGGCGAGGGTACTGGGGCAGGCTTTCAAAGCTTGGCAGAGGACTCATCTGTAATTTTGTGACAAATTTAATTGTGTGTATTCAAACATGTTGCATGGATCACTGTGGGGTTTTTTTTTCTCCTTGACAACCCAGTAAACTTCTTGGTAAACATGACACCACTGAAGAGCTTCCCTCTTCTGTGAAAACCTCCTCATCTCTGCTGCAGGAGGTCGTGTTTCTGGCTGTGCTTGGGGGGGAACGGGCAGGTAGCTGCTTTGACGTTAGATGCATATGGTGTGAATGCCAGCATATCTTTGTTAAACGAATATGAGCTGTTCCTTCCATAGGGATTTTTAAAGATAACCTGTCAAGGCATGTCGTTGGAAATATACGGGTCTTGATATGAATTCCCTGTCATCTGTGTCATCAGTAGTCTGTGTATTTCTTATTTGAGTGCCTTTGCTTCCTGTAACTTACCCGACTGAATTCACTTTATCTCTGCTACTTATTTAGGTGGCCTCTTTGATCTGGAGCCTGACCACAGAAAGACAAGATTAGAAATTATGATTTCCACTGTTATTTCTCTTGCACTGTGAAAATTTTCACTTATACTGGTGGTGTCAAATGATCATTGTTTACAGAGAGCTTTTAAATTATTCATTCTTCAAGTAGTCCTATTCTCTACTTTGTCCTGATCAACATTTGTGATACATCTGTATCCCACAGAGAGGTAAAAGAAAACGGTGTAAGAACTGTACTTTTTGTAGGTCCCTATGTTGTTTTTTTTTACTTCAGGATGCAGTTACTCAGAAAATTGCATTTTAAGCATCAAAAAAATATATCCCCAAACATCAAACGCATGACTTCTTTCTCATATTTTTTTTTTTTCATCCTTGGGGCATTAAGGCAGACTTCCCTACTGTTATTGTGTGGGGAGCTAGTACTGTTTTAATTTGAAAGGCATATGCAGAGTTCTGTTTGGAAGAAAAGGACTTTTGAAAGGATTTTCTGTGATACTAAGCAGGGACTACTAAAAGGGCCTAATTGCTTCCTATACAAGTTTTATTGTGTCTTTGGTTAGCAGATAGTTTATTTCTGTGGACATAATAGTAGCTTGCAGTGTGTAATAGTCAAGGTGAAAAACAATCAGTGCAACTTTCACATATAACACATGCTCCTCATGTTGGAAAGACGTGGATCATCTTCCACATACATATGTTGCACATCTCCTTAGAGAATCTGGGACTAGACTAAAATATGATTGTCTTTCAGCTGATGGATGAAGGGTGGTGGGGTGCTGGATCAGCTAGTAACTGATGTAGCTCATCAAGTTTGCACTGAAATGGTGGAAGCATCTTCAGGGGCTGTCCAGGTAGGGTGAATGTTCGCCTTACTGTGTCTCCTGTATAGCCCTCTACATGTGGACTGTATACTACACTGAGGATGTGTGTGCAGAAGGTCATGAGGATGAAACTGGATCCATCTTCCTGTTGCTATGGCTGATGGCCTGGCTGGAAGGCATTGCAGTAGGACTGTGCTGTCAGGACACTGGTGGGGTTGCAGGTGGCAGGGATGGGCCTTGAACAGGTAACTGGGGAAGGCCCTCTAAGCAGGCATCTGTGAGCTGGTTTTGATCCTGCACCTACAGCTGTCAAATTGATCAGTCATTGAAGAGGAGGACATCAGACAGAGATGGAGTGATAGATAGGAGGAAAAGAGACTTGAGGAAATGCGGATACAGGAGCTAACAGCCTTATGGTGTAGATGGAGGAAGTACATCAAGTTCATGGTTCACTAAGTTCAATTTACCTGTCCTCCTTCTACTCGTTTGCTTTTCTTCTCATGGCATGATCCATTTGTGGATGACATAACTGTGTAATCGACCATCCCCTGTGCAAGTATTGCATGAGGTGCCGGCCATGTCGCCTCTGCAGGAGGGCTGGGTGAGGAAGTGAGTCAGGGGCAGCCCTGGCACAGCAGCTGGTGTCTGCCCTCGCCACCGCCTCAGCGCCGCGCTGGAATTTTCCAGGTAGGGCATGGGGAGAGGTAAGAGGGAGAGCGTGTGGGACGGGATTTGGACAGGGAAGGGCTCGCCCTGGGGAGAGCTGCCACTGCGCTGAGCTACTGGTGTGTCAGGGAACACCAAACGATACCAATAAATCAGAGGGAAAATGCAGTGGGTGCATTTTAAAATATCTAATACCACCTTTGTGTTTTATTACCTTCTCATTACCATTTTCCTTTATTAATTTGAAACATACACTGACTTTTTTTTTTTTTCCCTCTCTCTCTCTCTGCAGCATGGATTTCAACACATTTTTGTGCTGGTGCCAAGAACACTGTGTTCTGTTAAGTCACGGGGTGACGTAGGGTGCTGGCCAGTCGCCAACCTGGGTCAAGTTCATTCAAATAAGTTTCAGTGGCGGCTCTTGCTGCCTGAGCCCTGTCAGTCCTGCTTTTGCATGATAGGTGGCTCTGTTGTGCCAGTTTTCCCCAGGAGCTTGGGCTTTCAGAGGCTTTAAATTTTATGGGCTTTTGACTTTTCCTTAATGTTTGCAGAAGGATTAAAAAAAAATCCCCACTTCGCATGAATCTGTGAGGAGAGGAAAGGTGATGACCATGGGTTTGCTGAGCAGAACGAGGTCCACAAGTTGTAGCATGTGTTTAAGTGTTTTCCTTTCTCTAGCCACTGATATTTTTTTAATTTTATTTTTTTTTACTTCTGTCCTGGCTTTTAATCAGGGTATCTTTTAATCTTGTGTCTTTAAAGTTACTCTTGATGTTCCAGCAACAAAATCCTGCTCTTGTGATAACAATAGATGAAATGACACAGTGTGTGAAAACAGCAATGGCTGTGCTAGGTTAATTACTTCCCTTTCCTACAGGATTTTTGTTTTGCTCTCTTAGTGTTGGGAGCTTTGGACTGCTCTTAAAAATGCATTAAGTAAAGAAATCTCTTCTTCAGGGTGAGCTTCTCATGTACAGCATTGTCCCATGTCATGGTGTTGAAAAGTCAGACCAGTTTTCTTCGTCTCTTTATTCCAGCTTCCCTTTTGGGGGACTAAGTTGTTGCTACTTTGCATAGTAGCATACTTTTCCTTCCTGTAACCCTACCACAAATCACACTGGATCCCCTCCCTCCCCTTCACTTCCAGTAACTGCTCTGTGAGCAATAATTTTGGAACTACTGGCAAAATAAGAGTCTTTGACAAGCTCATAAAGTGCTTACAACCGGATAGCAGTTATACTGCCAGAGACATCACTAAGTGGTCTCTAAGACAACTGTTGATATTTTAGTATTTGATGAGAAACCCATTCTTCCCGTTTGCTTCTGGGATGTATTTTAATTAAGAATGAGATCTCTGGGGAAACTTGGTATTTCTAGAGAGAGGTGATTAGGTTTTTTGGGGGAGAATGGAGAAGTGAATTCACCGGTTAGGATTTAGATCTGTTTTAACTGTCTCTTATTTGGACAGGTTAGCCTTTTTTTTTTTTTTTAAGTTGTGCACCAAGTTTTTAGGTCTTGGCTCACTTGATGTTTGGCTTTTAAGGGAGAGAAACATGGTAGTGTCAGGTTCCCATGATTCAACACCCACTCCTGAGTTACCTGTCAGTGCTTGCTGGCTTATCTGCTCTGTGTGGGAGAGTGAAGGATGAGTCAAATAAGTTTCAGTGGCGGCTCTTGCTGCCTGAGCCCTGTCAGTCCTGCTTTTGCATGATAGGTGGCTCTGTTGTGCCAGTTTTCCCCAGGAGCTTGGGCTTTCAGAGGCTTTAAATTTTATGGGCTTTTGACTTTTCCTTAATGTTTGCAGAAGGATTAAAAAAAAATCCCCACTTCGCATGAATCTGTGAGGAGAGGAAAGGTGATGACCATGGGTTTGCTGAGCAGAACGAGGTCCACAAGTTGTAGCATGTGTTTAAGTGTTTTCCTTTCTCTAGCCACTGATATTTTTTTAATTTTATTTTTTTTTACTTCTGTCCTGGCTTTTAATCAGGGTATCTTTTAATCTTGTGTCTTTAAAGTTACTCTTGATGTTCCAGCAACAAAATCCTGCTCTTGTGATAACAATAGATGAAATGACACAGTGTGTGAAAACAGCAATGGCTGTGCTAGGTTAATTACTTCCCTTTCCTACAGGATTTTTGTTTTGCTCTCTTAGTGTTGGGAGCTTTGGACTGCTCTTAAAAATGCATTAAGTAAAGAAATCTCTTCTTCAGGGTGAGCTTCTCATGTACAGCATTGTCCCATGTCATGGTGTTGAAAAGTCAGACCAGTTTTCTTCGTCTCTTTATTCCAGCTTCCCTTTTGGGGGACTAAGTTGTTGCTACTTTGCATAGTAGCATACTTTTCCTTCCTGTAACCCTACCACAAATCACACTGGATCCCCTCCCTCCCCTTCACTTCCAGTAACTGCTCTGTGAGCAATAATTTTGGAACTACTGGCAAAATAAGAGTCTTTGACAAGCTCATAAAGTGCTTACAACCGGATAGCAGTTATACTGCCAGAGACATCACTAAGTGGTCTCTAAGACAACTGTTGATATTTTAGTATTTGATGAGAAACCCATTCTTCCCGTTTGCTTCTGGGATGTATTTTAATTAAGAATGAGATCTCTGGGGAAACTTGGTATTTCTAGAGAGAGGTGATTAGGTTTTTTGGGGGAGAATGGAGAAGTGAATTCACCGGTTAGGATTTAGATCTGTTTTAACTGTCTCTTATTTGGACAGGTTAGCCTTTTTTTTTTTTTTTAAGTTGTGCACCAAGTTTTTAGGTCTTGGCTCACTTGATGTTTGGCTTTTAAGGGAGAGAAACATGGTAGTGTCAGGTTCCCATGATTCAACACCCACTCCTGAGTTACCTGTCAGTGCTTGCTGGCTTATCTGCTCTGTGTGGGAGAGTGAAGGATGATCAGATTTTTGTTCATCACTAGGTGTCACTCACTTGCAATTACTTAAAGTATGTTTCAGGGCAAAATTAAAAGAAACATATATATATATATATATATCTTGCTTCCTACCTCAGCCAAATTGGGTGTGTGTGAGGGAAGGAAATGGTGTGAAATCTGGAAAAGAACTTTTTCCCATCCTTCTTTCCCATAAAACTATTGTATGTATGTGGTATTTTGTAATTTTATTACTTTAGAGTGTATCTTGATCTGTATTTTTGTTATTCTTGTGTAGTTCTGTTGATGCAAGATAAAATTTTGTCGTATGCTTCCAATGTTGTTTTCTTCCCTCTATCATAAAGTGTGAAAATGTGGCACTTCGTGCCATGGTCTAGCTGATGTGGTAGTGTTAGGTCAGAGGTTGGATTGGATGATCTCAGAGGTCTTTTTCAGCCTCAATAATTCTGTGATTCTGTCTGAAAACTTAAAAGAGTAGCAGATAGCATTGTAAAAGATACTAAAACCTAACTCAAGGAAGGTGCAGTGGTGGAGCTCTGGCATCTCTTGAGAGAATGCTTGGAAAAAACTGGAGATGACAGGACTCATAAAATTGTTCTTGGGACTTGACCACTGAGCTGTGTTGGAGAAAGGATGGTGACTAAAAACTGTTCACATAGAAATATTATTTATACTTCTGTTATCTAACAAATGCTGTGGAATGTGATGCCTTGGCTGGGTCCTGGACAACCTTCTCCATTGTCATGTGATTTGTATGGGGAATATATGCTCAGTTGTTGAACAGCAGAGAATTTTAAAATTCTAACACCAATGCTAAAAAAATAAAAGGGGGAGAGGAGGAAGATTAAGCTGTAAAACTCAATAGATTTGTTCAGAGCTGTTGAACACACACCAAATGCTCCAAATATTTTATTCCAGAGGGAGAGTTTCCAGAGACAGTGCAAGTGTCCATGCGGATAACTGGAAAATTTATTGGCAAGGATGTCTCTCTTCTTCTCCTGTATCTCCTGCCCTTCCCCTTTTTTTTTTTCCCTGGAAATGTGACGTGCCTTTTATCCAGCCTGGTTCTGTTATTCGGTTTGAGGGCTGGGACTGCTGTGAATCAAGATGTTGTGTTGACCCTGCACCCCCTCATTCTTGTTCAATTGAACTAGGTCTGTGTTTTGTCTGAGTTTCTCCTCAAGAAACTAAGCTGGAGGGTGTCCAGGCAGCACTTGCTGGAGAAAATTCTCTAAATGGTTTTGGTGGTTTTAAACATGAGTATCAGTTAAAAAAATGCTAAAAAACCTAAAACTTGTCTGTTGTACATTTTCTTTTTCACTTTCTCTCTTGTACAAACCAAATGTTAATTAAAAAAAGGTATAGCTAATAGAGAAACTATCTTCCCTCATCTTTTCTGATACATTAATGGTAGTGGCTGTTTGAGATCAACTGCTTTTGTGTGAAAGGTGACCTAAGTGAAGGAAGCCACTCCTAGACAAAAAGCATTATTCCTGTGGACCTGAAGTCATGATTTGCTGAAGGTAACAATAACAGAGAAAACCTGTTGCAGGACTGAAAATACAGTAAGAAGAGAAGGAAAAGGTTTCTATTTTGTTTAGGCTAAGTAAGATTCTTAGCGCCAGCCTACCCGTCTGCAGAACGTATATGTGGATATCCACAGAAGTTATGCACTAACCATATAAACAAGTAGATCTCTTAAGCTCTGTGTCAGACCCCATGTTTGCAGTATCTTTGCTCCTATTTAGCCCCATCATGAATTCCTTATGACAGCTGGGAAGAAAACACACAGCCTCCACGGATACCTGTACAGATATGACAGAACTCTTAATCATATGATTTAGTTTCCATTTGCGAAGATTATAGGTTAAAAGATTCATCTGCTTGTTCTATCTTGGATTACTAAGTGTTTGTGGCTGTGTGTCACTGTATTTATCTAGTCCACATGTTGTATTTGAATTTAACTGAGAGTGTGTTTGGACGAATAAAGTAGCATAATTTCCTTCCCTTCCCCTCAAGGAGAGGTGGGTTTCTTTTA